TTTTGTTAAGAAACGCAGCACTGCAAACCACTACAGTCATGATCACTGCAAGCGATAGGGCGTGCGACGCACCGCGTATTAGAGCGCAAACAGGGCGCACTTTTACCACCAATGATGCCATCCTGAACATGCTAAAATTGGGGAGAAATCGATCTGGCTGCGCTCACAGCAATGCCCTCGTCAGAAGCCTATCGCTTGGAGGGATCATGACTATGACCATGAGCAGCGCTCCCGCCCGAGCTGATTAGTACTAGACTCATCCAAGAAGATCCAAGAAGATAAAAAAGCGACTTTACATTGGCAGCCCTTCTCTTCTCCCCCCCCCCCGCCGCAATGCCATTGCATTGCATAGGCCAATTCACATTCAAAAGCCAGCCCGACTCCAAATGGAAGTAAAATGCATGCAGCATCTTGCAAAGTGATTCATTGAAGTACAAGCTTTTATCCTCAGCTTTTTGAAGCAGTGTTGCTGTCAAAGAATGTGAAAAAGCAAGCCAGGGATGGGTTCTCTTGACGTCATGCGGACGAAAAAGTGCAGAGAAGAACGGAAAAGTCACGGAAATAAAGTGATACAGTTCAAGCAGTCTGTGGGCCCCGTACACATTCCAATATTCCACACATGTCAAAGGTTTTCCCTACTTCGAGACACTTCTCGTCTCCATCTTTCTTATCTGATCGTATACTTTTTGATACATGTCGATTCTTTCGTAGCACAGCACCGGAAAAAAACCTGGAACGAGTTTGAAAAGGCATTTGAATCTTTCTGAACTATTTGTTCCCTTCATATTAAATTTCGGTTAAGCGGAGGCAGTGTAGTAAACAGTGGCGCCATTTATCGCTAGCCTGGTCTGGGTTTCAAATCTCGAATCTGCTCCCGCCCGAGCCAATGCTATTAGGTTGTCCGGAAAGTTCTCAGCGTTTTGTGCACCTATTTTTTGTACATTCACTGCTGATTAAAAACTCATTCTGCCTTGCTTCTCAGTAGCACATCCTGTAGAGAATTTCTTGCGCTATCTGATGGTATAATTGCCGTTTCACCATTGCTTGAAACCCCCTTTTTTCAAGATTTTTTCAAGCATGTGAAAAGAGCACTTCGGACGATTTTTTCTTCGACTATAAATTGGGGCAATCCGCAATCGAAACAGCTCAACAAATTAACCAGGTGTGGGGGGCCCAATAGTGCTAGAGAAAGCACTGTGCGGCAATGGCTCAACAAATTTCGTTCTGGAGATTTCAGCCTTGAAGATGAACCTCATAGCGGTCGACCTAAAGCAATATCTGACGAGGATTTTAGGGGGATTTTGGAGGCTGACCCATCCCAAACAGTTCGAGAGATAGCAGAAGAGCTAGGCTTGGCAAATCCACTGTTGCAGATGGTCTGGAACGCATTGGGAAGGTGAAAAAACTCGACAATTGGGTGCCCCACAATCGGAGTGACCGGCAGGAATCGGCACGTCTCGAGGTTCCTTCTGCATTGCTTTTGCGCAGAAACGACCTGTTTTTGGGCCGAATTGTCACCTGTGATGAAAAATGGGTCATGTATGATAACAGGAGACGTTCCGGACAGTGGTTGGATTTCGACGAACCACCGAGGTAATTTTCAAAGCCGAACCCTCACGAAAAAAAGATTCTGGTCACGGCTTGGTGGTCATCGGCTGGTGTGATCCACTATAACTTTTTATCACCAGGCCAAACCATCACAGCAGAACCCTACTGTGAAGAAATCGACGAATTGTACCGAAAATTTTGTCAGATGCAGCCAACACTTATCAAAAGAAAGGTCCGATTCCTTTGCATGACAACGCCCGCCCACACGTTTCACAAATCACTATCCATAAATTGAACGAATTGGGGGTTGAAGTTCTACCTCAACCGCCATATTCTTCAGACCTTTCGCCAACCGACTATCACCTTTTCTAACATTTTCAGAACTCCCTTGCTGGAAAATACTTCATCAATCAGGACCAGGCAAAAAAGCCTTAGTGGATTTCGTGAATTTTCGACCACCCAGTTTTTTACTTTGATGGGATTTCTCGACTGCTGTCACATTGGCAAAAGTGTGCTGATTCGAATGGTGCCTATTTCGATTAAATCCGATGAGTATTAAAAAAGTTACGATCGTTTAAAGTGAAACACCCAAAACGCTGAGAACTTTCCGGACAACCTAATACTTAGTACTAAACTTGTCCAAGAGGATAAAAACGCCAACCGTACATTGGCAACCCTCAGAGCGTTGGGATGTTCTTCGGCATGCCCGGCGACGTGGTTAGGCGTCATGTCTAAGTCCCAGAAGGCCCATCATCAAGAAGCTCATGGACAGCTGGCTGAGTGTTCGCTTCCTCTTCCTTTACTTTTTTAATAACTCTTAAGAGACTTATGTTATCCTCAAAGCATTAGAAACTTCGGAAACGAATGCAATATCAAAGTGGCAACGGAGTGCGCCCCACTGCAGTAATCTTCAGAATTCTTTCCTGACAAGGAATAAGATCGAACAACTCTTTTTTTCAGAATAGCTTTTTTAGGCGTACTTGACATGAGCGAAGGAGTTTTCATGTGAAAGTTAAAAAATACCGGTAAAGAAAACGGTTGCCCTCCGACTGGGTCCCAACTGCCCCTGTGCGCTCCCAAAATTTTCCTTTGCAGGGGGGCTTGAGCTTAAGAAACCTGGATTAACTTTAAGGACTTGGCATAGATTGTATTCCAGAATCTTTGTCTGTTCAATGAGTATATTACCAGAGCAGTGCATATGGCGCAATGCAAGGCGAATTATATCTTAAGAGCATTCTCTTCGAGAAACATGAAAACTTTGTTCCAGCTTTTTGCTGCATATGTGCGCCCCACCCTTGAATATTGTCCCATGTTATGGAGTCCCCATACTCGCCATATGGTTGAACTTATTGAGAGTGTTCAGTCTAAATTTACTGAGAGAATTTTCGCCCGTGGAGGCATGTTTCACATTTCGTATAAAGACAGGCTAAAATATCTGAAAGAGGACTCTCTTGAGATGAGAAGGAAACTATACGACTACGACTTCGTTTACAAGCTCAGTGTTGGCTCTGTAGATTTAGATTTCGATCTCTTGTTTACAAAATCTTCAACAATTGGACGTACTAGGGGTCACAACTTTAGGATAATGAGAGAGAAAACAAGATCAACTGAGTTTCGAAAAATTCTATTACCCAAAAGAGTTATTTACTTTCTGCGAGACGATTTAACCGGTCGATGTTGGTTAACTCGAGGCTGCCTATTAAGCCTTCAGAATAAAGTCAGGCGAATTATGATATCTCAGGGTTGGTTTTGAGAACAGAAATTAAACCATACTAACTTGAACAGATCGAGAAGCGATTTTGTAGTGGAAATGAATGATTCAAAGTATTTTATATACTGATGTGAATGATGTTTTTCAGCTCATAATTCATGGTTTTTGTATTTTGTTTGTTTTGATGTACATCCCTAATACCACTATGTTTTCTTTCTCCACCCTATCTGCTGCAAGTGGAGTTGGATCTCAGCTAAGTCAGCAAAGTTGTGGCGGAGCCTACTAAGTTTGGTAGTCTGGGAGTTCCTACGATGAGCTAGTCTATGACTGCAGTCGTTGCGCGCCACTGCCCTTCTGCGGCTGGACTACCTCTGCCATCTCATTGGCTTAGCGCAGCTATATCTCTTGTCATACACCATGAGTGTTGCTTTACGCGTTATCGGAGTTTTCTTCTCTACATGGTTATTTACCGTCGACGCATTGTACGTAGCTTTGGGGCCGATAAATAAGAGTTCATAAAATCGATAAAACGACAGCTGAAAAAAACGACCAGTTTCGAGGCTTGCTCTACGGCTTTTGTTCCGCAGCCTGCAAGCAGTCTTTTATTCTGCCGTAACAAAGCACTCACGGTAATCCTGCAGCGAATATTCCGATTCCCTATAGTTGTCCCTTCGGCCAGAGCAGCATTGTCCTATAGGATTGTAAGCCTTTAACTCTTCCTACTGTACTTGACAGTCATGTCTTACTTTTTCCGCGAATGTGGCGATGAAGCAGACACCGAGATTTCCTTACCGCTCAGCTGCCTTTCAGCAGCCTTGTGCGGTCGCTTGATGGAGACCTGAATGAATCCAGAGTTGTCAATGTTTCTGGAAATGCAGTGTGGGAGTGTGGATTTATGAGCCGTGTGACTCCTACATGGTAAGCGTAGCTGCTGCCATTGCGCTACACACAAGGTCACCCATCCTTTGCTCAAGAACTTATGATTCATCACCAGCGAATGATTGTGTTCCCATTCTCAATATTTCTTCGGAAAGCCTCGTTTACGGCTCATACCTCAATTACTTGACTTCCCTTTGTCAGAAATCGTCACCTGATACCAACTCTCAATACGAGCTGCAACTCCCAAAAACCGTTCTTCTTCCAGAAGATTAGTGTGTTACGAGCATCTATCCCTGAAGAATGAAAGAAGAGCAGAGACTGTTAATTCCATATATTAAATAATTTTCCATTGTTTTTTACTACATAGTTGGTTTAGTGAAACCTTTTGGTCCAAGTTGCTCTGTAAATACTTTCGCTCAGAGGCGAATGTTCTCTCACTTCACTTCCCCATCCCCAAGTAACGTCTAATAAAATACTTCTTCACGTACTGAGGTATTGAGGTGAAGTTGGACAGTCGCAGTTGATTCGAAGGACTTGATAATGTTAGAGCTCGAGGCGACTAGCAGCAGCTTTGCGCACCATGTCCTCAAGGTATCCGCATTCAGCGGTCGGACAGCGTTTTTAACAAAAACTACGAGAAGAAGAACGTAACAGAGTGGCCCGAAGGAAACGTGATTCTCTGCAATTTAGGCGTTATTGCGATATTTTTTTTTGGCGCAGAATAAATTGACTGCGAGGAGCACATTTGACTGCATGGAGTTCAGGAAAAATGGGTGGTCTTACAACTTCGCGAGACTGATAAGGCCGTGGTCGATGCCAGTATGCTTACAGCTGCCAATATAGCTTCGTGAAGAAAGAACACATGCGAACTACAGCAGAAAGAATTTATGGTTCAACTGTTTCATTTGCTGCAGATTCTGCCAATCAAGGTTTATTTTGACCTTTTACAAAGTTATAATCAGGTTCTCCATGTTCGACTGTCCACGAACCTTGGCATGTGTGTATTCTTGTCTTCAATGATTTCTTGTAGCCACAACCAAGGTGTTAAATCACTTTATTGGGCTTACGTTTCGGCTAGTCGCCTTCGTCAGAGTCTGAAAGTTGAAGATTAGTGATTCAGTCTGTAGGGTAGCGGTGTGGAATGCGAGAATGGAGAGAGTGAGGATGATTGGATGAGAGGATTGATAATGATTTGTGAATGCATAAAAGGGTTGTTCTGGTCTAATAAATCATTCCTCTCCCAGTGTGTCGTCTCATCGCAACTGGCGATCAGGCGAACCGAAGAAGCAGTAAGAAGGCCGACAACGTCAAGCGAAGAAGACCGACGACGACGAGCACGAGGAAGCTGAACAACGACAGACAGGAAGACCGGACAACAATCAAGGACAAGGGAACACCAACGATGACGGAGGCCAAGGCCGAAATGGGAGGCACCGCCATTGGGAGGCCCCCGACGTCTGATCTCGGAACAGATGTGTATCGGGGTCGGTCCCCGGGACCATATGTTCCCGGGACGTCGTGGAGAACCTGGTGGAAGCTGTTCTCCAACTTCCTCGTACTGAGGAAGGTTACAGAAGAAAGGGAGCAGCGGCTGATTTTCTTGCAGGAGGTGGGCAACTCGAATTATGAGTTGCTGGAGTCCCTCCTGCAAGGACGAGAGTTGGAGGACGTGGAACTGAAGGATCTTCGACAGGCTATGGAGCGCCATTACCAACCGAAGAAGTTGGTATTAGCAGAGCGTTTCGGTCTCATGTCGAAGGTCCAGAAGCCAGGACAAGCCCTGCACGAATACTACGCGGAGCTGCAGAAAGCAGCAAATACGTGTAGTTTCGAAGAAATCAAGAACCATCGGGATGCGGTAGTCACGATGGTCTTCATTGGAGGACTGCTCTCAGTAGATACAAGGAAGCGACTACTGGAAAAGGAGGACTTGACCTCGAAAGAAGCTCTGGAACAAGCAGAAGCGTTTGAGCGTGTTGGAGTAAACGCTCCGCATTTGAAGGAAGGTCCCCAAGCAGTAGGGATAGCTGAGGTAAGAATGCGTAACCGGCAACCGGCTCGGCGCACGCAAACAGTAGATCAAAAGGGGAAATCGAGCAAGGGCCCAGCTCGAAGGGATTTGAGGTGTAGAGTTTGGCGACATGTTGGAAGAGCGCGAGAGTAGGCCGCAAAGTCTCCCGCCAGGTTCACTGGTGCGAGGAGCCCGCCGGAAGCTCCGACAGTGGTGAGGAGATGGTAAGTCAAGGCTGTGAATACAGTAGTAGTATCACGCATACCCCACTGTCGTAGAGCTGATTGCAAGAATCCGGCGAGATCGAGCAGTCCAAGCAGGGTAGAGGACAGCCAGTGGAAGAAATATGGCGGTTCCAACCGAACGTAATGGAACTCACACAGTGGCGGCGAGAACTGGCGGCAGCAGCCGAGAGGTCGGCCACCAGTAAGAACATGGTCAATAGAAATGAGGAATACCATGATAAGGAAGTGACTGATAGGAGTACGGTCAATGGTGCTTGCGGAGTAGACCGCTTGCGGTCGAACCACCGAGAATGCTGGAGATGCAAGTAAA